ACAGTTCAAGTAGTACATGTGATGATGATGAAGGAGGACCAGATGGTGGTGGACATGGTGGAAATAATAATGCAAATAGTGGTGAAGAACATGGTCAGAGTAACAGTGGCTACTCCACTGCTAGTTTAGGTAGTGTATATGAAGATGAAGAAGTTGGTTTCGGAGATGTTGCAAATACAAAAGCAAATGGTGGTGGAGAACATGGACAGAGTAACAGTGGTCATTCCGCTGACAGTTTAAGTAGTGCAGATGAATATGAAGAAGGACCAGATGGCGGTGGACATGGTAGAAATACTACTACAAATGGTGGTGGAGAACATAATCAGAATAACACTGGTCACATCACTGACAGTTTGAATATTGCAGATGAAGAAGGAGAACAACCGATTGATGGTGTACATAGTGGAATCACTAATACAAATGGTAATGGGGATCTGGGCCAGAGTAGCAGTGGTCAATCAAGTGATAATCCAGGTAGAGCAGATGAAGAAGAGGAAGGTCAAATAGAGGGAACTCAAGGTGGTAATATAAATGATAATGAAGAACAGGATGAGAATAATGGTCAACTATTAAATGTTGAAAATGTACGTGAAGTTCATGAGCAGGTACTTACAACACCCACCTATAACAATATTTGGTTCAAAAGTGTTGTTCCTGTAGGAGGTGATGTTGGAGCACAGCATGCAGGTCTAACTACCCAAAAAGCATTTGAAGGTGAGTATTAATCATTCAATCACTGTAACGTATCAACTTTCAGAATAGCATTTTTTCGAGTGTATTCATCTGTTCTTAAATTTAAACTTGCCATGGAATTTATTGGTTATTTTGTGATTGTGCACGCCAATATAGATCAAATATATAAGCGAAAAAGGAGAAATTAAAATCAATGAATAATGATTAACTTTTTCCACATGGTCTTGGATTCACTTGGATCACATGTCACATTATGTCACTGACAATGTGTTGAGGAAATAAATAAATCATAATAGATCATATGATTAAATCAGAAAACAATTATTTTTTTGGGTTTTCAGAAATGAACAGCATCATTTCGGAGAGTTCTACTGTTGCAATAGGTATAGCAGCTGCTGTTGGTGTAGGAGGGATATTCGCTGTTGTGGGAAGACACTTGTACAAGAGGTATGTGCTAGACTAACCAATTCACCAGGGAAAAGGGTCGTTTTCTGTCTGTTAAAATGATCGATGAAGATTCACTGCATGTGTATTTTACAATGTGATCAATAGTAGAATAAAAGTCAATTTCTCCTACGCCAATTAATTAAGATCACTTTTTATCATAATGACGATGACAATGATGCTCGTCTTCATTTAATTGAATTAATGAATAACTCTTTGATTGTAATTGATGAATATTAATGATTACGTTATTTCCAGAATGACAAATAAGGTGTCATACCAAGCACAATCACCGACATCGAGCCAATCTGATTTGGTGAACGAGAACAGTGATGGGGATGTAGAATCGGCAGAGAAGAACGACAATGGGGCAACGGGAGCAGATGAAATAAAGGACTTGTATAAAGATCATGGTTTTCATTGCTCCTCTATTCCCGTAGTGAATATATAGACTGATTACCATATACTAATGTTTTTTTTAAAATTTTTGTTGTTTTGAACTTTATGTAAATGCAGTATTTCAAAATTGTTTCTACTTGTTGTTCACACCAATATAAAATAATATATTCTTTGCTTGATTTTGGTGACTCAATGCACTTTGGGTAATCCAATACACTTGTGTCCAAATGGCCCCGTATGTCTCACACACACCTGCTTTGTCCCTGTTTAATAGAACAAACTCCACTCTTTATAACTGTGCCCTGATCAATGTAGTATTATGTTTAGTTGTAAACATATTTGACTCAGTCATTGTTTTTGTAGTGTCATACCAAGTTACCAACCCATTTGAATGAACCACTAAGTTCTAGATGTATTGTTGAACAACAATTTTGTTTTCGACTATGATTAATTCACTATGATATACCTATATGTACTATAGTATACCTATAATTTACTATATTATCCCTATATGTACTATATTGTACCTATATGTACTATAGTATACCTATATGTGCTATATTATACCTATAAGTACTATAGTATACTTACAATGTACTATATTATACCTATAATTCACTATAATATACATATAATTTACTATATTATACCTATATGTACTATAGTATACCTACAATGTACTATATTATACCTATATGTACTATAGTATACCTACATGTACTATAGTATATCTATAATTTACTATATTATACCTATAATTTACTATAGTAAACCTATAATTCACTATATTATACCTATATGTACTATATTATACCTATATGTACTATAGCATATCTATAATTTACTATAGTATACCTATAATTTACTATAGTATACCTTTTGTGTGGTTAAATTTTACATTTTGCTATGAAGTGGATACTCTAGGTTAGGCTTGACAAAATACTTTCTATGTTAATACACACAATGAATCAATAAATTGATTAATATTGCTAATTATAATGTTGTGCTAACATATATGTCTTGCAATTATATCCGGCGACTGACTTAGTTACTACTCAATAATGTCGATTTCCTGATTATTTAACATTTAGCGTTCTATGCGTTTTATAAACTAACGTGTGTGTGTAAATACATAACATTGGTATTGATGTCGTTTGTGACAGCATTTTTTTATTTCAACATTAAAGTACACTTCATGTAGTATATTGGTCTTATTAGCATATTTCCCGCGCTTGTAGTTAACGCATGCGCTTTGTACCATGGGTTGGTGAAACCATGTTTTAAATAAAGTAAAGTCTATCGTTTGTTCCTGCAAACCTTGGTTTGTTTAATCTCTGCCTTACCACAGGCCACGACACTTCATCAGTTTCTAAACAAGTTAACCAAATTGTTGAATCATTCTTGATGTTTTTCATAACTTTTCATGTTATCTGTCTTGTATTGTCATTTTAGCTTCCAAAACGCACGTTTTATTTGTTCATTTCTTCCTATGTATTCCCTGCTTCTTTCAAAGTGTCCTTACATAATTTAATTTCATAGGGTGCATCTATGTACGAATCATTACT